GAAGGTGCAAGTGTTTTGATTTTAGTGTCTTCTCTTCTGTGGAAAGAGTTCCTTAACTCATGTCAATGGATAAAATTCTCATCAAATTATTGAAAATAAAAAATTTAGATCTAAAGGCTATCAAAGTATGAGAACCTTTCTATTACCATCAACTTATTATGGAACAGGTTTTATTGAGCAGTAGATGTTCATAACAATTAACCAAAGGCTCACAAGTTAATGGGGAAATTGGAGAAAAGCAACTCGCCTACTTAATGAAGTACGTTGCAACTCCTTCCTCAGAACTCCATAAAATTACAGTAAACGATAGTATGGGCCCTACGCCCATCTGTTCACAGTTGATGTTTTGCATGTTCCTCAGTACTCCCTTGTTATAAGTGCATGTTCCACTATGTGAACACATTCAACTTTGGCCTTTACTGTTATAATGTTATCGTACTTTGAGTATTATAAATTATTCATATCAGACGAGTTGAATGATAAGTAATACTAGCTAGAACTATTGTGTGTTAGTGTACTTGTAATGTTACTCCTTACTTACCATGTGGCTTAATGTGCATTTATCTGTTTTGAAAATAACTTCACACAGGTTTGATAACTCTTTAATGTTTTACTCATTGTAAAATTAATTATCATTACCAAGAAAATCTGGAGGGTAAATTCAGTTGGATTAATTTCCTTTTTCCAGGGTGGAACGGTTATTGGGAGTGCACGCTGCAAGGCATTTCGTACCCGGGAAGGTCGTTTGCAAGCTGCTTACAATCTTGTTAAACGTGGAATCACTAACCTCTGTGTGATTGGTGGGGATGGAAGCTTAACAGGTGCTAATCTTTTCCGTGAAGAATGGAGTGGACTTTTAGAGGAACTGGCAGAAAGTGGTAAGTTTGCATCTTTTCAAAGATGTAGACCTCTTCAAGAAAATTATCTATCATTACATAAACAAATTACATTCATAGGACATTATTTAGTGCAGACAGTCAAGAGGCCTGAGGCAGAATCAATCTAAACTACACAGGTTTCTTTAAACTGCAGATTGGACTGTTAGCGCATGGAGCTCACAATTTCTTCTCAGTTGGGGGATGCAGGCAGAAGCCTGCACTGGCCGAGGCCAGACAGCTGGGGTTACTCCCGCATGCCTCCCAGCTGCTGGACATTACCAAATGCAGCCAAATGGCTGCACCATCCCTGATTGGCCATCAGGCACATGCTTACCCCCACCACCTCACTGCCCTGTCATCTGTCAGGCAGCTGGCAGCTGCCTCCAAGCAGTGGAGGGAGGTGTGCTTGCCCCGCTTAGCAGAATGAGGGTCCCTGGGCTTTGTCCAGGGTGGGAGGAAAGGAGAGAGCAGGGCATGCAAACTGTTGGGGGGAGGTGGTGCCAGTGGTGTACCCTGTATTCCTGGTGGGTGGAGCACATACTTTTCCTGCTCTGTCCCAAGCCCCAGGATCCTGTGCTGGGGCAGTTTCAGGAAGAGTTTGCAGGATTCCACCCCAGCCCGCCAACAGAGCCAGCACTGAATTCCTGGCTGAAGCCGCTTCTTTGTAGCTGTGGGGGCATGGAGCCTTAGAGCTGCTGCAGTGCAGGGTCCCGGGGCTCAAAACGGCAGGGCCACTCTGGACCTTGCACTGCAGTGACTCTGGAAAGGGCTTGCAAGATTTTCTCCCCTTCAGCCAGTGCCAAATTCCTGGCTGAAGCTGCTGCATCACAGGGTTCAAAGCACCCCTCTCTTGCCCTTTCATGAGCCCCAGGACCTTGCACTGCAGCAGCTTTAGCCAGAAATCCACTGCTAGCTCTAGGGGGAAAATCCTGTGAGCCCTTCCCAGAGCTGCTGCAGTGCAGTGTCCTGGGGCTCAAAACAGGGCAGGGACACTCTGGGCTCTCAGGATTTTCTCCCCTGGAGCTAGCTCCAAATTCTTGGCTGAAGCTGCAGTGCAGGGTCCTGGGGCTCGGACAGGACAGGACAAGCCAGGGACATTCTGGATCCTGCGCTGCAGTAGGAAGGGCTAACATGATTCTCCCCCTCAGCGTCAGCACCAAATTCCTGGCTGAAGCTTCATCTCTGTAGACATGGGGCTCTGATGCCTGGGGGTGGGGGGCAGCAATGCCCCCACAGCTGCAGAGAAGCAGCTTCAGTTAGGAGTTTGTTGCTGGCTGGGGGGGGTCTGTGTGGGCGCGCCCCCCCCCCCCCCCGCGCGGCG